TTTCCCTCCTTGACAAAGGGACATTGTCCCATATTGGAAGAGGAAAAGGTTTTTGATGGGTATATATACAATTGCTCTTCTTCTAGCTCTTAAAGAGTTAAGAAGAAGGCAAGTCTCGCGCCATCGTCGTCGTCGCTCGCTCGGCTTTGGATTCAGATTTGGTCAATTGATTGATTAATTTTTTGGACTAAATATATTTGTTAATAGTAAACGTAATATTATTAAATATCTGTTTTTTGTAAACGGAAAATTAATATTAAATCCAATGAAAAATTAAGTGTCCACTTTGGTTTTTCGTTTTTCGTTTTCCGCTTTCCATTTTTGTAACAGAAAATTAAGTTTCCTCCGCGTTGTAAATTACCAGTTTATTGTTGCGTAAATAGCCATTTACGTTATGGCTGTTTTACGTAAACAACCATTTTGAAGAGTTGCACCTCTTCAATTTGAGCTCAACATTTTGGCTATAAATAGCAGTCAATTCTCTCAGATTTTTCATACGAACTTCTGAATTCTCCTCCTTTCTGCATTGTTTTAACTACAAAGAAAGCAACAGTAAATGTGATTTGCTACCGATCATTGTGTTCGCTGAAACACTGGGGTTTGAAGTATCGCTACACCAGTGTGTAATTCGTTCTATCCTGGGAGGAAATAATCCACAGCCTTGGGTAATAGGAGGAGATTAAGAGGGTGTTTGGATTGGTTTATTTTAAGTGCTTATTGGCTTTAAAAACTTTTTTAGTTTGTGTGGTGTTTGGCAATACTCCCTCCGGTCCACAATAAGTGACCAATTTGCTTTTTTATTTTGGTCCAAAATAAGTGTCCATTTATATAATCAAGAAAGAATTCAATTTGTTTTTACAAAATTACACTTATGTACATATCCCTAAAAAGTTTTCTTACTCCTCCCATTAAATATTTAATTAAGGCTAATTTAGTCATACTAGGGTTTTTTGTATAGAAATTAATATTTTCTTAATGGGCGTGCTAAAAGCAAATTGGTCACTTATTGCAGACCAGAGGAGTACTAAAAAATGCTTAAAATCACTTACTTTTAGGCATGAAAAATACAAAAATAAGCCAAAATGGGTATTACCAACTTATGGCTTTTGGATTTTACCTTAAAAGTTACTACTTTTTATAAGCCAATCCAAACACTATCTAAGTTCGTTAAGGAAACACTGTGAATTTAGTGGGCTCGAATTAAATTTTATTTCCTTTCATTTCTGTTTATACGATATTTTATATTCTCCAAAATTATTTTACAAATACAGTTTACTAACAATAATAAACTAAAGAGAAATTCAAAATTAATGAATTTATTTTAGGAAGGTTTCTTTTCTTCGTAACTGAAAAGAATTATTTTATGTAGTTGTTCATTACCAGAACAAATGGTTTATTCTAATGAAGCACCAAATCATTGAAGATAATTTTTCAGTGAGGGCTCAATTAGGTCAATAAACAAGCTTTTTGGTGATGGCTCTTTTACAATGGTGGGATGGGTATTTGTATGGTGGTAGCGATGACCGATGGGTGTTTGTGTCGTGGTGTTCTCTGGCAGAAATGGAGGAAAGAGAAATAAGAAAAGGAAAGAGAGAAAGAGAAAGAAGAAAACGGGAAAAACAAAAAAGAAAAAGGAAAAAATATTAAAAGGGTTAGTTTTACATTAAATACAACTAATTAAGTATAATTAAGAGCCTGTTTGGAAAGCCATCTTGGAAATGGATTTGGGTGTAATTGGGTGTAATTACACAGTTTGGCATGTTTGTTTGGCCAAGTAATTACTTGGTCAGCATGGAATTGGGTGTAATTGGAGGGGTGTAATTACACTCTCCAATTCTCAAGGGGGAGGTGAGAATTGGTGGTAATTACACTGTGTAATTACAAGGTTGCTTTTTAGTTTCTTTCCTTTTTGTTTTTATTTTAATTTATTTTCTTTATAACTTTTTATTTCTATTATTTTAATTTTTTAATTTTATTTTTACTTTTTAATTTCTTTTAAAATTTTAAAATATATTTTTCTTTGTACATTATTTATCTTTTATTTCTCTATCTTTACTTCTTGTGATTCTATGTAATTGCTTATATTTTTTTTTCTTATTCTATTTCTGAAACTACACATCCTAATATTAGAAATAATGGGTCATTAATAAACTTGACATATAATGAGTGATGCACTTAAAGTGAAATTTCGTTGTTGAATGTGGTTATAAACTTACCATGTTTCCTAATCTTAAGTTGCAGTGGAACTTACTATTATTATGTTGGAATTTGACATATGTAAAACTATATTTTTTTTTTGAATATTGAAATTGTGTTATATTCATGGTTCCCATTTACTTGTTTTAGTAGTTTTGGCTCATATTCTATGTTGTTCATTTTTTAGTTAGAATTGATAGATTAGTTTTGTCAAACATTTGATTAATGTTATGACACTATATTTATAAATATTAATTTATTTTATCAAACATGAATTCCATGATGTTCTTACAAAACGTATATTTTTAGTTTTTGTAAGTATCTAAACTAAATATTATTAATTTAAAAAATATACTATATAAATTATTTTTACAATATTAGTTATAAATATATGATTACTAGTTAATGTATATTTACGAAAAAATATACAACTTAAATACCAAATATAATATTATTTATAGTTATAAAAATTTATAGGCATATATTTAATATATTAATTTTTAAGTTTTAATAATTACTTAATTTAAAATTAAATCTAACTGTGTAATTATACTTGTGCAACCAAACAGTAAACTTGTAATTACACTATAATTACACTACGCGCTTTAAGTGAGGTAAACCCACTTTCTCTGCCACCTCATCTTTGAAGTAGGTATTAATTTCACTATGAATAAGAATAGGGTGGTAGTAAAATTCCTATAAAAGTTGAGTGTGAAACTGACTTACAAAGTGTATTTTATGTATTTTTCCCATGGACAAGTACAAAGTGTATCTTATGTATTTTTCCTATTTTTTAACTTCAACCAGATGTTGCCCAAACGCCCACTAAAATATAGTACTTACTACATTTGTTAATGCAAAAATACTTTTTTTCTTGGGCAGGGAGATGATTATAATATAATACTGATGAGATTACGTACTACTGAGACATTAACTTTTTTATTTTCTTTTGTGTGGAAAAAAAGGGTCAATCTTTATTTTAGAAAAAAGAAAATACTCTGATATTTGAAGTTATGAACACCTAATATAACGAACAAAATAGGAACTGTGCAATCTCTAATGAACACATGATTGAAAAATACGTGGATGATTATGATATTGATCAAAGAACTACAGTAACATGTATATATACAAAAAAGAAGAAAAAGGAACACCTATTGAATTAGCTTTTGATAGATCATGGTGGGATCACATTTGAATCTAGAATAATTATAATCGATGTGAAAAATTATTTTATTAGTTATTCTCTCAATGACGGAGCACACAATAACGGTACATAAAATTTCGTGAAAATAAATAGACATAATATCATAATATTGGCAAAGTTTTTAAAATCTGCTTATTTTGAGAAAACATTTTTCAAAAAAGTACTTTTGGTGAGAATCGATTTGTATTTGGCTAATTAATTTGAAAAGCACTTTTGAGCAGTAATTAGAGTTTGGCCAAGCTATTGAAAACTGCTTCTAAAGGTATTTTTCTCAAAAGTGCTTCTCAGAAAAGTGCTTTTGGAGAGAAGCTACATTTTTTTGCTTCTCAAAAACTGCTTCTCCTCAAAAGTACTTTTTTTCCTTCTAAAAGTTTGGCCAAACATCTCAATTTTTTGCCAAAAGCACTTTTGGCCCAAAACAAAGCTTGGCCAAACATGCTATTAGCTTGTAAGTAGATTTAAGGACCCGTTTGGCCATAGATTTTATCTATATTTTGGCAAATTCTCAAAACCGTTTTGGCCCAAAATATCACTATTACATTTTTTAAAAATCACCCCAAACTTTTGTATTTTATAAAAGATCTCACCATTTATTATTTTATAATAATGCTGCTTCTTCTTCTCGGTCATCTGATAGTGTATTATATAGTTCATTATAAAAATGATAATTTTTTGCCAAATTTATTTATATTTAGGACTATTTTGCGATATTATAATGAATGTTATTGATAAAGGTACTGTTGGGTATTTGTGATAGTTTTTAGAACTTGTGGTATAATTCGTGTTTCATATTTTTTTCAAAAAAAAAAAGTGAAATATGTTTTGAAAACTTATGTCCAAACACATTTTCATCTTCAAATCAAACTTCACCCAAATCTGATTTTTCAAAATAAATTTGGGTATTCATAGCCAAACGCTAGCTAAGTTTGAGTCATATTATTTTAAGGCTTTACTTGATTCTAAATTATATTTTACTGTATATTATTTTCAAATAATATCAATTTATCATTTATCTTCTTTAAATTTAGGGTTGTCAAATTTGGCCCAAGTCCAAATGATCTGTTTAATCCGCACAAGGTTGGACTGGTTTGACCCACCCATTTATTGAACTCAGCTCATTTTAACCCAACCCATTTAAAGTTAAGCTGATTTTTAGCCCAAATTGATCCATGTAACTTTGCCAAAATATCTTAGAAATAATTTTCTTTTTTTTGATATGTTATATATGACCATAACAAAAGGAGAAAAAAATCTTATATTATACAATTCATAAAAAAAAAAAAAACACCAGATATTAAGCAAAACTTGATAAGAGTTGGGCGGGTTGAGTTATGATCCAAATTTTAGCCCACCTAACCCATCTTAGCTCAAATAACTTTTGGGTGGGTCATTTGACCTACCAAATTATAAACTCAACCAATTTTGACCCCTCAAAATCGGCCAAACCTGCCCATTAGATACCCCTATTTAAATTCATTAAATGGTATTATACACATTTAAAATTGAGAAATTTTTGAAGTACTCATATGGTTCTTCCTTAAATAAATCTTCTTCTCTTGTTACTCTATAGAAAACACTTGTTCCTTGTGTGACACTATCTGAACCCACAGACACTTAGATCTTTTTATTTTCTCTTTCATTCTCATTTTCACCCTACTAATATGGAAAGCTCGATTACACTTTGACTTTGTCCCTCCCTCCTCTTTTGGCATTCGATATATACTTACCCCCACAAAGGCAATTTCCAACTCTCCTCTGTACTTCATTGCATTAACCACGGGAGACAATATCATCTACAAAACATCAATTAATGGGTGAATTTGGAGTTCAACCATCCTCATTCTCTTCCAATTACACAAACAACATGGTGTTGGACACGTCAAACAAGTCAAAAACAGAGGAACCAGAAGAGAAACGCTGGACAAAGCGAACAAGAGATCAGTATTCTAACTGTACTGAAAACAGAGCATACCCAGTTTATAGAGGAGTTCGAATGCGAAGTTGGGGCAAGTGGGTGTCTGAAATTCGGCAACCTCGTAAGAAATCTCGTATTTGGCTCGGTACTTATCCTACTCCAGAAATGGCTGCAAGAGCACATGATGTTGCCGCGCTTAGTATTAAAGGAGAATCAGCCATTCTTAACTTCCCTCAACTTGTTGAGTCACTTCCTCGTCCAGCTTCAGTTTCACCTACAGATGTTCAAGCTGCTGCTGCAAAAGCAGCTGCAATGGACGATGTCCTAAATTCTGTATCTTCTTCATCTTCGTCTTCGTCTTCAGTATCAGAAGAACTGCTAGGCCAGATTACAGAGCTACCGAGTTTGGAGGGGGCTTTTGACTCGGACGAGTTGAAGTTGAGTGACTCGGCTGATGGGTGGGTATATCCGCCATCGCCGTGGGGGGCATTCGACGGCGAATTTTATAGCTATTCATTTGAGCAGACTGCCATTGGAGAGAGTTTAATATCTACCACAGATTGGAGATGCTGAAATGGGCTTGAATCTTGATAGTGTTGATCAAGTGTGGCCATCATAGCTTTTTTTACTTTTTTCATTATTTTTTTTGTTGTGAGTGAAAAAAGAGTTTCTTTGCCTTGGGATGATATGGTATGCTTTGTTCATAATCATAATCATAATTCTTCTTCTTACACGTTTGTGAATAAAAGAAATCTCTTTTCTTTACTTTAGTGTAACAAGCCTTAAAATTGTTAGGCATTATGCACTAGCGTCCATATTTAATGTAAATTTTTTAGGCTTGTTAGATATTTATATACCAGATTAATTTCTTATAAAATAAATTAATGAGCTTAAATGGAGCGATATGAACTCATGTAATTGTTGTTGTTAGTCATGCAACGGGAAATTAAAATATTTGCCCTAGTAAAACTTGTAATATCTTTGTTGGAAAAAAATCAGAAATAGCCAGATTCGTAGTTGTCAGCTGGTAATTGAAAAATAATTATAATTTCAAAAGTAATCGAAATTTTGCAACTTTTTCACGTAAAGATAAAATCTAAACAAAAATACCCTTAAAAAATCCGGAAAAATTCCAGCATAATATGCTGAAGTTTGAATTTTTTACATATGAGATTCCAACATATTATGCTGGAACTTTCCGTCTTTCAGCAAAATAGTGACTAGTTTTTAATAACTTTGCAAATGCTGGTTATTTTTCAATTAACAGCCCGAAAACTGGCTAGCTCGTGTTATTTTCATTCTTAATTTTATCCTCTTAATACAATTGCATTACTTTCGAATTGACAGCTTAATAGTAATGAAACATAATTAGGGTTGTAATGTAGGCCGGGCCTGATCCTAAATGGGCTTCGTGGGCCAGTCCTAAGTGGTCCCGGACCTATGTGGGCATTTTGTAGGAACCAGCCCGGGACCAGGACCACGAACTAATGGTCCCGAGCTAAGTGGGCTGGTCCCGGGCCTATGTAGGCCCAACGGATACTTTCTATTTTATTTAAAAAAACTCTATCTAAGGCAATTCAAATTATATTTATAGAATTGTGACCTAAATTTTTTAATTCAAATTTAAACACAAAAAATATTGTAAAGAGATATTCAAGCAATGCGTTATAATTTTATTATAGCATTAACAAAACATGGCAATATCTTTCTTAGTCTTCCTCCCACCCCTCTCCCCTCATGGAATGAGCACAACAAGGTGCTAATACCACCATTGAGAAGAAAAAGAAACTAATCAAGATGCGCCAAAATACAAGTTACATATTAATTTACATGGTATCTTACAAATTTCATAAATTCTTCAAGGTTCGGAGGAATTTCTGTTGGTGGTGGCGAAAAAGAAGCTTGTTCAGCACCGCTTCTGGGCGAAGCAGCATCCTCCGCAAGTTCAGCTAGCATTTCTTCGTAAGCTTTGTCTACCTCTGGTTGTGATTCAGCAAGTCCAAAATTTTTTCATTCCGAATGGATCCAATCTCTGAAAAGTACTGATTTTTCCAAGCTCCCCCTCATAGACGCTCTATAATCACCGAGTTGAAGTCTTGCTTGACTGAAAGCGCTCTCCGATATAGTGATTTGACTATTGTTTTGGGTTTTATTCAAAGCAATGCGTTATAATTTTAATATAGCATTAACAAAACATGGCAATATCTTTCTTAGTCTTCCTCCCCCCATGGAATGAGCACAACAAGGTGCTAATACCACCATTGAGAAGAAAAAAAATTAATCAAGATGTGCCAAAATACAAGTTACATATTAATTTTACATGGTATCTCTTACAAATTTCATAAATCCTTCAAGGTTCGGAGGAATTTCTGTTGGTGATGGTGGAACAGAAGCTTGTTCATCACCGCTTCCGGGCGAAGCTGCATCCTCCGCAAGTTCGGCTAGCATTTCTTCGTAAGCTTCGTCTACCTCTGGTTTTGATACAGCAAGTCCAAAATTTCTTCGTTCCGAACGGATCCAATCTCTGAAAAGTGCTGACTTTCCCAAGCTCTCCCTCATAGACACTCTATAATCACCAAGTTGAAGTCTTGCTTGACTGAAAGCGCTCTCCGATGCCACTGTTGAAGCTTGAATGGTTGAAATATCTTGGACCATACTTGAAAGAATCAGATAGTGTTTTTCATTGTCCTTCCACCATTCCAAAATATTAAAGGAGCCGTCGGGATTCACTTCCTCAATTCCCTGTGACAAATACACTTCAAGCTATTTAGCTAGCGTTTGGCCATAGATCCCAAATTTGTTTTGAAAAATCTGATTTGGGTGAAGTTTGGTTTGAAGATGGAAATGTGTTTGGATATACGTTTTCAAAACATATTTTCCAACTTTATTTTGGAAAAACATGTATATAATTCCCAAGTTTTGGGATTTTGGTCCAAAATCAGCTCAATAGCTGATTTTGGGATTTGAAATTTGGGATTTGGGATTTGGCCAAAATATGGGCAAAATTTATGGCCAAAAATGAGTTTTGAAAATAAATCCCAAATTTATTTTGGCAAAACTCATGGCCAAACGGGGCCTTAGTTGTGAAAAATCACTACTACTAGAACCTTGATAACCCCTAAACCCGGACCAAGCAGTAAGTGCTCTTACTCCCCCAGGTCTTTTAGATGATTGAGAACTAGAAGAAGAAGGAGTTGGAATATTTGGTCTAGCATGATCTAATGCAATTTGATAAGCACTATAAATAGTTTGAGCATTTTATTTTAATTGAGACTTGTGCTTCCGGAAGTTTAGACAACTCCTCATCTTCATGTGCTAAACCATTATAAACAGTTGCATACCAAAATTGAGGACCTCCTAATTTTATAGTAGGATTTAACAAGGTAGCAACACCATAAATAGGGGGAATAGGGAAAAAATATTTTTTAAACTTTTTTCTCATAGAATCAATAGCTTGTTTATAAATTTCCCCACCCTCTCAAAAATGAGCAAACAAATTTGCAAGTTCTGCAATATAAACTAAATAGTTAGAAATAGTAGGGTTATATTGCCCAGAAAATTCATTTGTAGCAATATGAAATTTTTCTAAAAAATCTACAAGAATTTTAGCATTAGCCCAATCCGCATTTGTAAGGTGCTCATCATCATCACTTACATGAGCATTAAACGTTGAGTTTATGCAGTTTCTATATTCATATGCAACAACAAAACTTTCGTACATGTAATTCCATCTAGTTGGACAAGCTTTAGGAACCTTTCTTTCTCTTAGGCCAAATTCATCGCATCTTTTAAAATATTCTCTAAGTCTACTTCTACGGTTTGAATAAAAAAGCCAGTTAAGAGCCATTTTAACCTTTTCAATTTTAACATTTAAAATTCTCATACCATCACCCACAATTAAATGGTAAATATGACAAATACATCTAACATGAAAAATGTTACTAACTGCAGGATTTAGAGTAGTGATAAGCAAGGCTACAATATTAGTGTTACTAGTAGCATTATCCATTGAAATGGATATTATTTTATCACTAATGCAAAAATATGTACAAATATCCGTAACCGTGCTAGAAATAAACTGCTCTGTGTGACGTGAATTAATTATTCTATAAGCAATAATGCGCTCTTGCATTATCCATTCCTCATCAATCCAATGACTGGTAGCAGTAAGATAATCACAGTCATTACCACTTCTACCAATATCAGTAGTAATAGCAACACGACAATTTATATGAGTAAATAAATAGCGCAAATATTGTTCATATTCATGTTTATATTTATAAATATCGCTCTTTACGGTTTTGCGAGGCCATCCTTTATAAGTGGGATTAAAAACTTTTCTAATATAATGCGCAAAGTGAGGGTTAGAAGGAAAACTATAGGGTAAGCACATAACAATAACCATTTTTGCCAATTTTTCCCGATCTTTTCTTGGATCACAATATAAAATACCACCGGTAACAGTGTTAATTACCGGTTGAAATTGATTTGACCCGGTACTAAGGTTAGCCTGACTAGGTACACTTGTCCCCTCAGCCAAAACTTTCATCCGAAGATATTTAACTTTATCTTGAGGGTGTAGCAATATGTGTCTCCTCAAACTTCTCATCCCCCCCCCCCCCCCGACCTCCAACATATTTAAAATCTAACTCTTTGCCACAAGTTTTACACTTAGCCCTATTTTTTTCTCTTAGTTGAGTAAAAAAATGGTCAAACAAGAGATGTTTCGCTCCATTTAGAAGGTTGTCTAGAAAAAGTAGGGGTAGTAACAGGAGGGTCAGACGGGGCATCATTTGGATTATTATTAGTTGGGTTAACTTCAGCAACAGGACTAGTGGGTGTATTGTCCTCAAGAAATTATGCAAATATTGACTCTCAGTAAATTGTAATAAAGTATTATCACTACCAAGAATAGGAGCAGGTGTAGGACGGGTATGGGGTTTGGGTAGAGGAGCCCGAGGAATTGGAGGAGGAATAGATTGGCCACTAGATTAATCACTCTTGGATTTTTCCTTATTTTTACTAAACATTTTTTTTAACGAGAAATCTATCTTAATTAATCAAACAATACAAAGTAAATAAATGTGATGACCCAAAAGGTCATCTCGTATTTTAGAACCCAATTCGGAGTTCTGAGGCCTCCATGACCTCATTTTCCTTCTCCCCGATTTGCGTGCACAGTTCGGGCGCGTTTCCGAAAAGCTTTTATGTGAAAATTTGAGGAAATATTAAGTTTTTCCTATAAAATTGATTTAAGTTGACTTCGGTCAACATTTTGAGTAAACGGATCCGGACTCGTGATTTGACGGTCCCGGAGGGTCCGTAGAAAAATATGGGACTTGGGCGTATATCCAGAATTGAATTCCAAGGTCCCTAGTCCGATAAATGAATTTTTGAAGAAAATTGTTAAACTAGAAATATAATGATTTTTAAAAAATGAATAATGTTTGAACTTGTTGGTATCGGGCCCGTATTTTGGTTTCGGAGTCCGGTACAGGTCGATATAATATTTATACCTTATCTGTGAAATTTGGTGAGAAACAGGACTGATTTGACGTGATTCGGACGTCCAGGTGTAAAAATAGAAACTTTAAGTGTTCTTGAGAATTTCATTGATTTTGATGCTAAATTCGTAGTTTTAGGTGTTATTTTGGCGATTGATCGCACGAGCAAGTTCGTATGATGTGCTAAGACTTGTGTGCATATTTGGTTTGGAGCTCCGACGGCTCAGGT